GGTAGGGGTCCTTGAGCCTGCTGGAAAGTGGCCTGAACTGAGTGCCTACAAGGGAGTGAAAGAACAGGGCAGACTTCGGTGAGAATCAGAACTACCTGGAAGGCTTGAGCAAACCCAGAACGTTGGGCCCCACCATCTGATACAGAAGGGCTGGGGTGGGACCTGAGAACTTGCCTTTATTACAAGGTGGGAAGGGGCACACCCTGAAAATTGTCATGCCCAGAATTCGTGATCCCCAAAGACCACCAGGGAGCCGAGTCCGATGCAAAAGCAAAAGAGCCTTTATTCGAGCTAGCTCGAGCTCAGTCCCCTACCTGCACCGACGCAGATACCAGGGAGAGAGAGCGAGTTTCAAAAGCACAAAGGTTTTATAGGGGTCTAGTGGCAGCCGATTGGCTGGGGAAGGGGCGTGGCCTCGGCCGATTGGCTGGGGAAGGGTCAGAGTCCTGTTACGCAGGTCGCTGGGCGGGTTTTGATCAGGAAGTTTGGGTGAGAGGGAGGTTACTCAAGGGGAGGAGGCGTGGTCTAGGTGAAGGACACAGAGCAAGATGGAGTCGGCAGGCAGCGTAGGCCCGCCCTTTCAAAAATCACTTGGCATAAACCAGTCTGGAGGGTTGGTGAACAAATCTCCCTACCGTCTTTCTCCCACTTAGCATGTGAGCATTGCTGTTTGTTTTAAGCAAGGAAAAAGCATGAATTGTTTTCATATGCATTTTAGACGATACACTGTGTTTGCTTTAGGGATTGAGTTGTGTGACACAGAGAGAAAATTTATGTGTTAATTACTAGAAATTCGTAGGAATTGAAGTACAGCTTTCATGACCTTACTGTTTGGAATGAATGCATTCTGTGCTTAAAATAGCCAGTCGCTTTATTTTTAAGACTAATTTCTTGGTTCTGAATGATGAGAGAAAACGTTTCAGACCCTTAGCTGCAAACACTCTTCTGTCCACAACACTTTGCAAAGACAGCTCATCTTTATTCCTGATCCACGAAAAGCCAACTCGGATATAAGATGTAATTGTCAGTCTTGTTTTCTCTTTAGCACACGGGCTTTTGAAGCAGACTTGAGGTCTCCGTGTGCTGAACAGCGTCTGTGATGAGGCGAAGTCGGGAGTGGAGTCTGAAGGTGGGTCTGTAAAACTGGCTGCATCTGATCTTGTGTTCTTTTGCACTGACCATCCTGCGGGGAAGGGCGTAGAACAGAGCGCGAGCCAGGGAAACCAGCAGGGCAGTTTCTGCCCTGCAAGGTGTTCAGACTGTGTCGTCTTCACAGGGGAAATGTTCAAGATGTTTGACTTCTCCACCTTTTAAAAAACAGAGACCGAGCATGCGTTCTTCCCGTCTTTAGCTACGGGAACCCTTAGAAACCTAAGAGGAAAACCATACAGTGTTGCATCATTAAGAACGACAGCGCGGAAGTAGATGTGTTTACGAATGAGAATGAGAAGTTGTTGAGTGGAAAAAAAGCAAGTTGCAAAAGAGTTTGTGTAGCACGAGTCCACTTTTGCCAGGAAAAACGTGTTGAAATACATACAGCAAAATGCTCCCAGCAGTTTCTTAGCTGGAGGGAAGCACGTTGGTTTCCTGGTGGGTTTTTTCTTTTCTTTTCTTTTCTTTTCTTTTCTTTTCTTTTCTTTTCTTTTCTTTTCTTTTTTTTTTTTTTTTGCGTCTTAGCTTTTTCAGTGTTTGTAATTCCACATTGCTTAGGTAATTTAAAAGAAAGGGGGGGAGGCAGCAAATACAAGTGACACAGAGAGACCATAACGGTCATCTCCCACAGTTTGTTTTAAAATAATGCCCTTTCCTGACCCAAGATGCTCTAGAAAAAGGTGTGGTGTCTACAGGTTATGTGGGGGCAAAGCGATCTATCTGCTGACACCCCAAAGCACCGCACAGCTTTAAAATGCAGTATTTACCGTGTAATTACGACTTCAAATACTAGCTGTTTACTAGCAGTGGAGTAACACACAGAAATAGGCTCAGTCATAAATTACTGGTAGTCGCTATAGCAACACTGCGATAAGTTCTATTCTTGTTACTGTGATTGCACAATCACTTTTGATCTAACATAAATAAGAATCTTACAACGTGTAGTACTTTCAACATATGTGAAATATTTTAAACACACCTTTTATTTTTTTAAACTTTTTTTTAATGTTTATCCATTTTTGAGAGAGAGAGGCAGAGCGCGAGCTGGGGAGGGGGCAGAGAGAGAGAGAGGGAGACACAGAATCCGAAGCGGGCTCTGGGCTCTGAGCTGTCGGCACAGAGCCCGATGTGGGGCTCGAACTCATGAACCACGAGATCATGACCTGAGCCGGAGTCGGATGCTTAACTGACTGAGCCACCCACGCGCCCCTTAAATATACCTTTTAAATATTAGTTTAGGTATAAATTATCCATAAGGGTTTTTTTTGTTCACCCCCAAACTGGAGGGTTTACTAAACATCAAGTTTACCTCCTATGAGACTGGACCAGACCATCTTTCACAAGGAAATCGATATAGGCGTTTTTCTGTTGCACCCAATTAAAATGGTTATAGGGACATTTACCTAAGTTTGTCTTCCTGACTCATAACTTCCTGAAGGTTGTAGCTGGATTTGAGTTGAAATACCCTGGCGGCTGTTCAAAACCTTCTGCTTCAGCAATGAGAAAACCAATTAGGTTATTCTCAACACATAAAATTAACGTGATCCCAGAGGCTATATTTTAGAAATCTCTTTCTTTTCTCTTACTCTTCAGTGTAAATCATCCTTTTAAATAAAAAAAAAAAAATGAAAACAAAAAGAGGATCATGGGAAAAAGTCACATTTACATTTGAAGTTAAAAAATAGTACGTTGCCGGGATGGGCTGACCGCTCTGGAGGCAGTGGGAGGATTCAAACCCCAGCCAGACCCCCCTGATGCCAGGGTTCGTGAAGGTGAAAAGTCCTTAGAGCCTCTGAGCCTGTTTCTTCGTCCGTAAAGCCTCTGTCTGTTTGGTGAGTAGTAATATACTTAGAGTTTAAGAGCCGTTCCTTGTATCCAGGTGTATATTTTCATCACCTGTCTTCCCACCCTGTTAAAGTGTTTCTTGCTAAGAAAATACATGGCTAGTCATTCTGGATGTGTTACTCCGCTGTATTTAACTCTATGTAGAAAGCTTTCCAAGCCAGGTTATCAGCGATGATGTTCACATCTGTAGTGCATATATTTGAACTCAACAAATGTGTCACCCAAGCCACTGTAAGTAAGAGCATAGAAGTTCAAGAGAAAGTATTAGTGGGATATTTATCAAATTGGGGGATTTAATATACAACAATTACTACAGAGGCACCTGGGTGGCTCAGTTGGTTAAGCGTCCGACTCTTGATTTCGGCTCCGGTCATCATCTCAGGGCTTGGGATCCAAACTGACAGTGGGGAGCCTGCTTGGGATTCTCTTTCTCTTCCTCTCTCTCTGCCCCTCCCCAACCCGCACACGTGCTTTCTCTCTCTCTCTCTCAAAATTAAAGACAAAAAACTTTAAAAACAAAACAAATCAATTACTACACATTTGCACTCCGTGTATATTTGGGCCATTTAAATTTTTTTATTTACAGAGATCTGAATGATACCTAAATCCTTTCGAAGTGGCCTACTGCAATCATTTCAGCTACTGTAATATTTTGTCAGATTATCACATGTCACCACAAGATAGCTGCCAGAAAAAATCTCAGGACAATATGGAAAACATCATGTTGGCCACCTGGGATTTTACATAAATCGTATTCTATAATATTATGGCGTATTCCAGTTTCCACAGTACTTTTAGACCCATTATTTCATTTGGGTTGATGGAAGCGGTTAACCCAAATTAACATATAAGGTAATGGAGACACAGACTGCCCTGGACCAGGGCTCTGCAGGTCACATTGTAAGAAGGAGATCGTGGTTCTTAAAGGTTTGGGTTCCAGAATGGGTTTTGAAAGAAGTCCCTCCATCATACCACCATCATACCTGGCTACCGGATCCCGAATCCTACAATATCCCAAAGGGAATGCATAAGCAGCAGGCGCCTCGTGGTCCTCCGGTCAAATTGCACTGTCCCCAGCCACCGGTTCCCATCTTTGGGGGCTGTCCTGCTTCTCAGAGATGTGTGGGGACACCGACGCATCCACTAACAAAATATTTACACGGCACTTATGATGTGCCATTCACCTTCGGAGGGACAAAAAAATGCAACTGTGAACAAGACACTCATCTCCTGCTCTGCTAAAACCGAAATATTTCGTGGTGGAGCTGAAAACCTATCAGGCGATTTCAAGTGGGTGGCAAGTGCAGAGGTGAGTGGGCCAGGGTGCCGAAAGTCAACTGGAAGAGAGCGGCACCAACCCAGACCGGGAGCTTTGGACTAAGTGGTCCGAGTGGAGACACAAACAACAAGAAGGCATTAGTCGGCTCCAGCAGCGAGAGGGAGAGAGGGGAAGAGGGGAGCTGCACGTGCAAAGACCCTGAAGCGGAGGAGAAGCAGTGTGATGAGTCTGAGGGGCTCAAGTTCAGCACAAGTGAATTGTGAAAGCAGAGATCCTTACCAGTCACAGAAAGGGTTCTGGACTCTGCTTTGACCACGAAAGGCACCCAGGAAAGGGTTTTAACCAGAGGACTGTGGTATAGGGACCAAGGAAACTTTTGTAGAGATCCAGTTGAATGACAGGAGGGTGGTGTGAGGGGAAATGTGTGAAAATGGATGGGAGATCTTCAGGATGTAGACTCATCAGAGGCGCCCGGGTGGCTCAGTCGGTTAAGTGCCGGGCTCTTGATTTCAGCTCAGGTCACGATCTCACGGTTCATGGGATTGAGCCCCACATGGGGCCTGGGAATCCTGCCTGGGATTCTCTCTCGCCCTCTCTCTCTCTCTCTGCAACTCCCCTGCTTGCACACATGCTTTCTCTCTCAAAATAAATAAACAAATAAACAAATAAATAAATAAAAGAATGTAGATCTGTCAGACTCCCATGGGGGAGTTAGGCACAGGGCCTCCTGTCAGTGTACCGCCTCCGGGACATCCCCCACCCCTAGACCCTAGTGAAGTTTGTCTTTTTTCATACTTAATTCTCTGAATTGGATATTGCTTCCTTAAGCTGTATGGATGAAAGTGTAATTCAAACAGCTTCAAGATGTTGCTTTCCATCTTTCACAACACAGAATGAGAACAATGAAACATACAGATAAGCATACAGATCATTCAAACACGTAATACAAATCTGTGCAATTTGTCTGAAGGGACCCTCAGAGGGTGAACATAGCCAACGGGCAGGAGCAAAAAAGAAGGGTTTCATCTGGCACAAACACATTAACGTAAGCTGGAAAGTATTCATAAAGATGTCTTCATAGCGTCTGAAGCCCCACTGGAAGAGAATGCCAACTTTATAATATGGAAGCCAGTCAGATCTTCCTGGGGTTTCCCCCCCCCCCCTTTTGCTAGCTAGCATAGATATTGAATTGACTCAGCCAAGTTCAGCCCATGCACATTATACAATCGTTCCTAAACTCATGGCAAATCCCAGTGGGGTGAGATCAGGCCTCCAGAAAAACATGAGACAGACTAAAATTGTCACAATCAGGGAGAATGGATGTCTTTTCATGAAATCCATATAAGATGGCTTATTCAAATACATCATCTGCTTGGTTGTAAGACACATCTGACTCCACCAACCCAAATCCTTCATAACTGAAGTTTCTATCACTCGATGCTGTATGACTCTTCTTCCCTTTCAAAGGCTTTCCTCCCTGCGGGTCAGACGGCTCAGACTCAAACACAGCAGAACTCACAGCCTGAGGTCCTTTGGCAAACAGAACCTCAGCCCCTTCCGGCTCAGCTGCATCTGAATGATTGGCTGGGGACAAAAGTCGGTCACTCCTTAGCCTTTTTCTTATTTCTTCTTCTTTACTCTGAAAAGCGGTATTAAAGAATGAAAATGAGCCCCAATAACTTCCTCCGAGTTCTCATTAATATGCCTGAAATTAACCTGTATGATTTTCCATTTCCTTATTCAGTCACTTCACAAACATGTGTTGAGGAACTACATAAAATCTTGGTTTGCGAGCATAATTCGTTCCGGAAACAGGCTGGTAATCCACTTGTACATCAAAGCGAATTTCAGAACCACTGGCTCAGTTGTGATCGTGTGACGTTCAGGTACGACTCATATTGCAAGGCATGGCTTGTTTATCAAGTTAAAGTTCATTAGAAACGTTTGCCCGTCTTGCAGAACGCTGGCAGAACAAGTTACTCGCAATCCAAGGTTTTACTGCACTATTAAAGACACTCACACACTCCCTAACCTAGTGGAGCTGAATGGGGAGTCACTTTTCCCCCCCGAGAGGCCAGGTAAAGGGATGGAGACAAAGGCTGTCAGACCACAGCTGTGAAAGCTGCTTCCCGGCAGGATGGGGGACAGAGGGTGATGGGGACCCGGGTCGGTAGTGGAACAGGTGTTGGTCTAATGGTCTGCACGGCCTCCTCTTGGCCTCTATCCTCCACCCCACGCCCCCCTCCCATCCCCACCCCAAATGAAGCTTTTCTTCTTCCAATGAAGAAAGCTCCATACTTCATTCTGAGAATTGAACAATGCTTCCTTAGGCTACTCAGATGAGACAATACTTCAGCCAGCTTCAAGATGTTGCCTCCCTCCTTCACCACACAAAGAGAATTAAAGTAAAATTAAGCATCCTGCCTAGGAAGCACAGATCACTAAGACACTGGATCTGAATCTTCAAGCTGCAGATAGGAAAGGCCTACGTGGGCTCATTTCAGCAGGTAGCACACAGTGACACAAGAGCTCAGGTACCTTCTTGTGCCTCTCCACCGCTCGCACCTTCTCTTCTAGATCGTTCGTTGTGAAAGCCTTTGCTTCCTTTTTGAGCTGAAGTTTTTTCAGCCTGGCTGGAGGCTTTCTCAGAGGCCGCTCGGTCCCGTTTGCCTGGAGGAAGAAAAGGGAAAAAAACAACAAAAGGGAGAAACAGACATAGTCACTGGTGGAGGAGAGAGACGGGAGAGGTAGAATCAACACAGTGTACAATGTCGATCCTAAAAATCTGAGCAGATACGTTGGCAGATTTAAAAATCACGATGTGGGGGCGCCTGGGTGGCGCCGTCGGTTGAGCGTCCGACTTCAGCCAGGTCACGATCTCGCGGTCCGTGAGTTCGAGCCCCGCGTCGGGCTCTGGGCTGATGGCTCGGAGCCTGGAGCCTGTTTCCGATTCTGTGTCTCCCTCTCTCTCTGCCCCTCCCCCGTTCATGCTCTGTCTCTCTCTGTCCCAAAAATAAATAAACGTTGAAAAAAAAATAAAAAAAATAAAAAATAAAAAAAATAAAAAAAATAAAAATCACGATGTGAACGCTGGTCACCCCAGAACTAATTCTTCGAAAAGAGAAAAAAAGGTCTATTAGATGCCTAGAAGGAAAGACAGGCTCTTTCTAAAACGCATTAAAGAACGCAACAACGTTCTGGAGCTGGAAGAAGGCTCACGAGAAGAAAACGTTCTGGAGAATGAACACAGGTGGGAAAAGGTGACAGACGAGTGATGAGTGAATGCTTAGTTCAAGGTCAAAAGTGAAACCTGGTAATTTTGTAATATGCCACAGCTGGAAACACCTTTCCCTTGGGATCGAGACGGGTTTTGAGTACTTTGGGTCTCATGCAGGAGAAAATTAACCCGAGCAGCCACCTCGGGCTGGCCTTTGCCGTCAGGACTCTGTGAATGTTTTCAGGATGGGAGGAAAAATCCCCAACTATTTCGTGTGACCGACTACCCTTTCCAAAGTTCAAAGCAGCGATAATGACTTTCTGATGACAACTTCTAGTTATAAAAAAGGAAAAGTGTCGTGAAGGGTTTATAAAGAAAGTTTTAATGTACATTTTTTTCTTTTTAAGGATTAGTTTTCTATAACGTACATCCGTTAGGAAAAAGTAACGTGACACGTAAATAACTGCATAGTCTTCTGTTGAACCCCCTGGCCCCCAGTCCTACTCATCAGCATGAACTATGTGAAAGAATTTGGTATGTGTGTTTCCAGGCATTCTCTACGTACATATATTTATGGACATATGTATGTGCAGTACAACTGTAACGCTAAACCAAACGTAAATGAAATGATACCCTCTACAGGCTGTGCAATTTGCCTTCTTTACTTAATTTGCTACGGACATCTTTCTAGTTCTATGACATCTTTCCAGTTCATTATAAAGTAAACTGATTGTTCTAGGTAATTTCTCCAAAGACTTTTAAAGGCAAAGGAGCCACTGATATCCATTGTAATATCTGAAAGAGTCTCTTTACGCTACAAGCCTGCTGGTCCTGAGAAAACACATCAGAGAGGCAGTCTAGCATGTTAGAAAAAGATGCCAGGTCAAGACTCAGACAGACCTCGGTCTGAGTCCTGACTTGGCCAAGGTGTGCTTTGCGTGAGTTCTTAAGCTCTGTGAACTGGCTTTTGTCACTTAAACGGTGGGTTTAATGATACTTATTTCACAGGATTTTCTTTTTTAAGGGACTGTACAGTAATCACTCGGGAAATGGTAATTACATTTCATTCAATGAAAGGAGTGACTGTTTTAATGAAGTTTTAAATTTTAATTGCAGTAGAGTTAACATACAGTGTAATATTCCTTCCAGGTGTACAATATAGTGATTCAACCATTCCTTACATCACCTGGTGCTCATCACAAGTGCCCTCCTTAATCCCCATCACCTGTTTTTCCCATGCCCTCCCCTCCCTTCTGGTAACCATCAGTTTGTTCTCTATAGTTAAGAGTGTTTCTCGGCTTCTCTCTCTCTTTCCCTTGCACGTCTGTTTCGTTTCTTAAATTCCACACATGAGTAAAATCGTATGGTATTTGTCTTTCTCTGACTGACTTATTTTGCATAGTATTATACTCTCTAGTTCCAACCATGTCATTGTAAATGGCAAGATTCCATTCTTTTTTATGGCTGTATAATATTCCTTATGTAACAATCCATCTATATATATAATATTATATACCCTACCACTTTTTTTTTAAAGGGAATTTTTTTTAACGTTTATTTATTTTTGACACAGAGAGAGACAGAGCATGAACGGGGGAGGGGCAGAGAGAGAGGGAGACACAGAATCGGAAGCAGGCTCCAGGCTCTGAGCCATCAGCCCAGAGCCCGACGCGGGGCTCGAACTCACGGGCCGCGAGATCGTGACCTGAGCTGAAGTCGGACGCTTAACCGACTGAGCCACCCAGGCGCCCCTACCCTACCACTTTTTTATCCGTTCATCCATCAATGGACACTTGGGCTGCTTCCATAGTTTGGCTATTGTAGATAAAGCTGCTATAAACATAGGGGTGCATGGATCTCTTTGAATTAGTGTTTTAGCATTCTTTGAGTAAATACCCAGCAGTGTGAATACTGGATTGTTCTATTTTTAACTTTTGGAGGAATCTCCATACTGCTTTCCCCAGTGGCTGCACCAGTTTGCATTCCCACCAATGGTGCAGGAGGGTTCCTTTTTCTCCACATCCTCACCAACACTTGTGGTTCCTTGGGTTTTTTATTGTGGCCATTCTGACAGGTGTGAGGTGATAGTTCATTGTGGTTTTGATCTGTATTTCCCTGATGATCAGTTATGTTGAACATCTTGTCATGTGTCTGTTGGCCATCTGGATGTCTTTTTTTGGAGAAATGTCTGTAAATGTCTTCAAGCAGTGATTTTTTTCTTTTCTTTTTTAATGTTTATTTATTTTTGAGAGAGAGACAGAGCACGAGCTAGGGAGGGGCGGAGAGAGAGAGGGGGAGACACAGAATCCGAAGCAGGCTCCAGGCTCTGAGCTGTCCGCACAGAGCCCGATGTGGGGCTCGAACTCGTGAACCACGAGATGGTGACCTGAGCCGAAGTCAGACACTTAACCAACTGAGCCACCCAGGTGTCCCCAAGCAGTGACGTTTTTCAATGACAGCACACAGAATCATCACCAAGATAGAGTATTTGTCCTGAAGGGCAGGAATGGGCCAGCAGGCGGCCTGGGCTTTAATCCGGGTTGACCTCTAATACCCATGGTGTCCCCTGAGGCAAGACACCTCTACTCTTCGGACTTCATGTTCTTACATGTAAAAATAGTGAGGGGGCTGAGGACCGCTAAGGTTCCCTCCAGGTTTAAGAACCATGCTTCTCAGAAAGCCGTTTAGAGGGAACCATTTGTTGAAGCTCTGGCTCACTTACAGCCATCAGACAGTTTTATGTGGTGAGAAGTTTTTCACTACACGAAAACCGTGGAATGTCTGTCAAAGCAAGTTCCCCTTCCCCCATCGCTGTATTATTTTTATGACAATTGGCTGTTAGGCTCCCTCCTGGCAAAAGCCATTTGCTGCAAAGAGGGACGTACTTGCTGGAGTGGCTCAACTAAAGATACTGTGAAATTAGTATGAAAACAGTTTTTTAGGGAAGTTCACTCACAGAAGGCTAAAAACGTGAAATGGCAATCCCAGATTCAGTGAAGAAAGGCTCCATGAGGCTTGACACAGGAGTCTGAATCTTAACTAAAGGAGTAGGTGAGTGGTTCTGAGAGACTTGGGATTTCCGGTCTGGGTGGACTCTTCCTGTGGCTTTAGTTCAAAATGATGCCTAGGAAATCAAGTACTTCCTCCCGCTTCCGGAAGTTAATCCAACCTGGGCAACCCTCATCCTTTCCCGAGTTTGACATTTGAAGTAAAAGCCTTGGAAGACCTGAGGGAAAATATCTGTACTCTTTCCCACTGGATTTTATAAAGTCAGGCGTTACCAACTGTTGGCACTTAAAAATAACAATAATTGCATGATGCTTAGAGAGGGTGCTCCCTATAAAAACCCTAAACCTGTAGAAGTTACTAGTTCAATTATTTCCTTTAAGAATACCATCAGAAGACTGTCACACCCAAAGATGCTGTGATGAAGTTTGGATCTTGTTTCTAGCCAACCTGGCTTGTATATATTACTTCCTGTGGCCACCATGTAGCCCTCGGAGTTTCCCTAATTAGCTGTTGATCCACAGGTAAACCTACCGTGGCTATGTTCCCTCCCCAAAGTCTTGTGCATAGAACGGGTCAAAGCTTCCAGGAGACCTGCCGTTCTTGCTCTAGCCCCGTGAGACCTCCCAGCAAGGTCACAGCGTCAGCTGACATTAGTCTTACCCAGCCCACTTCCTCCTCCTTAAAAAACTCCCCATGAGGTTCAACGAGTAACGGTAGGGACTCTGATGCAAGAGAGATGAACTCCCTAACTGCACTGAAGGTTACCAAGGGCAAAAGTTGCCCAGAGAAGGGGGTACACTTTGGCCAGAGACAGAATGAGTCAACAGAGAAATCGGAGTCTTGTGTATGGAGGCCAAGGGGCAGGGGAAAAACGAGTCTGGGATAAAAGACACCTCAAGTGGATAATACCAATGTGGATAAATGAGAGCCAATTACACTTCTTATAGAGATCTGTACCAATCCAGACACACAGCGACGTGTGCATATAAAGTCCATACACATTTATGATACAGCCACTTAAGTCTCTTTAGAATATTTAAAAATATACTAAAAAATTCATTTAGTCTGATACTTAGGTTAATATTATATCATTATATATTATAATTAATTATATCAATCTAATTCTTTCTGAGTTACTCAAAGTAAATTCTATTAGTATGACTCTGTTTGAAAGCATGTTACCCCAGGGGCACTGTGAAATTGTTGTAGTACTTGCCAAGAAGCAAATGATAACAATTAAGAAAAAAGACGAATGGGGGCCTGTGGATATATACTTCCCTGGACCTCCAGGGAGAGACTGACCCACAGGAGGGTCCCCCAATTCAGCAGATGAGTGGAGGACCTCACTTTTCAGCATCTTGTCTTATTTTTCACTCTACATGAGAACTAAATTAAAGAAGGGGACAGATCTGGGGCGCCCGGGTGGCCCTGTCGGTTAATTGTCTGATTTTCGCTCAGGTCATGATCTCACCATTCGTGAGTTTGAGCCCCGCATCGGGCTTAGCACTGCAGAGCCTGCGAAGGCGGAGCCTACTTGGGATTCTCTCTCTCTTCGTCTCTCTCTGCCCCTCCCCTCCTCTCTCTCTCTCAAAACAAATAAACTTAAAAAAAAAAAAAGAAGGGACAGATCTAACATTCCCTGGTATTTATACTAATGGTATATGTTAGAAGTCTTGTTTTTAAAGTATTCTCACATTTATTGTTCTATTTTTCCCCCCATAATATTTGATTTAAAAGATTTTGGGGGACCAATGAAGAAACCGTGTTACATGGCTTCATCACATTGTATAACTGCTGACATTACTAACATCCCTTTGGTTTGCATTTTTAGCCAATTTTATCATCTGTTGTTTTTTTTTCTAAAAAATATTATTAAATATTGGATAGGAAAAGCATTAACTATCCAATAATACTTCCGTTCTTAGTATGTTCCCCTTTCAGTATTCACTACTCATCTTTTCACATTGGCTCAAAACTTTTGCCAAAATATGAAGGCACCTGGTGTCTGATATATGCATGTTCTCAGCTACAGCTGAACTGTAAGAGACTTTACCTGTGACGCTAAGCAATTATACCTCTCCCTCATTTCCCTGTGTTCCTGGGGATACTCTTTGTCCTCTGCCTGGAAGTATGTTACATTTTCAGGAATCCTTTAGAATTCTTACACAATGGGGGATTTCATTTCAAAAGATTTAACACTTTCCAGCTTTATAATGAATTTGAGGGCTTTGTGTATGTTGGTAGAAAAGTAAGGGCAGTGATTCTTGGCCTGGGCTGCCCACTAGAATAACCTGGGAGCTTTCAAAAGCACTGCGGCCAGAACCCATCCCCAGCCACTGGTCCCAGGGGGACCCAGGCACTGGGATTTTCTTTCTTTTCTTTTTTTTAAACATATTTTTTAAATGTTTATTTAATTTTGAGAGAGGGAAAGAGACAGAGCTCGAGGGAGGGAGGGGTAGAGAGAGGGAGACACAGAATCCAAAGCTGTCTCCAGGCTCTGAGCTGTCAACACAGAGCCCAATGTGGGGCTCGAACCCACGAACTGTGAGATTGTTACCTTGAGCCGAGGTGGGACGCTCAACCAACTGAGCCGCCTAGGCACCCTGCGAATCCCAAGGAGGCTCCTCACTGTCAGCACAGAGCCCCATGTGGGGCTCAAACTCACAAACTGTGAGACCACGACCTGAGCCAAAACCAAGAGTCGGATGCTTGACCGACTGAGCCACCAAGGCGCCCCTGGGGTTTTCGAAAGCTTCCTAGGTGATTCGAATGTGCAGCCAGGTTAAGGACCACTGCTCTAGGTGATAAAACATACAGCTGTGTGTTACTGCGCTGGCTTTTTGCAAATCTAGATTATGCTGGGACATCGTGGTCCAAGTGCGGAGCAAAAAGCAAAAAAACAAAAGCAAACAGCTGTGTTATTCTTACCTACCTCTGCGGTCCTGTCACATTGAAATCCTTTTGAGAACAGTCCAACTAGGCTCCTGACAACTGTTCCATTTCTACAGAATATGAACACACTCATCATCTTTGTCTCACTTAATGATGTTATTGAAAGTCAAGCCTGTAGTTTTCATTTTTCAGATACATTTCTTTCACAAGGTGGCTTATGTTAGTTCACCTTGTCGTGCCCTTGTAAGGTCTCAGTCTGGACTCCATCTCTGGCGTCTGAATCACTGGAAAATATTTTAATGCTATTCCCATTGCGGTTAGCATCAATTTTCTATAGCATTTCCCTGAAGAAGGCATCGCTTAGCGACTGAAAGTTTCCACAATTTATCCTCCTCCAAATTGTTCTCTTGTCTTTTTTTCTTTTGACACACCTTCCTTTTTTCTGACCCCCAGAGACTCACCTATAGCTGGAAAAGAATCCCTCCCCCTCCTTTTCCACGTTAAAGACCCATCTTCCAGTACTTTCAAATAAGATACTGTACTCGAAAGTGCCATGCATCTCACAGACGTGAACTGTCATTATATTGGTATTATCTTTCCCACTATATAATCTATTTTTACCTTCCCCTGTCCCCTACACCCTCTGATTATTCGCAGCCTGATAACATCATTCGTGAGGTTTAGCGATTTCCTCTCTTTTCCCCAAATACCTTCTGCAGGATGTATATTCTTCTTCAAGAGAAAATGCCACTTTGGTTTTTATTCATGAGTCTTAAGCAATTCCTACACGCAGAGAAGGAAATTACCTTTGTTCAAACACTTAAGTGACTTGGTCTAGGTGGCATACTTGATTTAAATAATGTGTCTATTTGTCCACAGTCGATTGTTTTCCCTACAAGACAAGGATGGGCGGCCATTGAGGAGCCTTCGATGTTATTTCTGGTCCCCATTTCCATCCTTTCTGTGTCTTCCTTGTCTTTCCCACTCATCTCTCCCTAGGCTTCTTTTCTCTGTTAATTCTTCTTTCCACCTTCGTTAGGCAATGGGGTTGCTTGGGAGCTTTGTTAACAAACGAACACCCGAGAAAGCAGAACAAACAACACCTGCCATCGTCTTTACAGGTTTAGACAGAACTTATTAAAAAATTAAGGACTCAAGACTTCGGCCACAACCAGTTAAAATCAGAGTAAAAATTCTGCTCACGCTAGGGAAACACTACAACCGATTAGTCAAGATGAATCAACAAAGAAAAAGAAGAGTGTGAGGAGTTTTATAACCGTATTCATTTCTTCCTGTTTGACCTTAGGGTCAATATCGAAATGTGTACATATAGGTGTATATATAAATGTGTAAGCATATCTGTTTTAGCTTTCGCATTTAGGCCTATTTTTTATTAGATAAATCAGAGTTCAGTTTTATATTCACAATACCTAGTCCACAGGCAATGCTTAATAAAAATTCTTCAAAGAATGAAGGCATGTTATCCAATGGGGCTTACTGTCCCTCAATTTCAGTAAAACCCAAGATATGTTTTACTGGATTCCTTTATCATCAACGATCAGGGCAGTTGCTGGGTGCCTGGCTGGCTCGGTCCATAGACTATGCGACCCTTACTCTGAGGGTCGTGGGTTTGAGCCGCACGTTAGGAGTAGAGATTGCTTAAATAAATAAACTTCTCTTTTTAAAAATTTTCTATGAACTTATTATTATTATTTTTTTAATTTACATCCAAGTTAGTTAGCAAATAAATAAGCTTTAAAAAATGATTAGGGCAATTCCCGAGTCCGTGGAAAAGGATGATGTGGAGATGGGTGAAAGAATTGATGGGAGAGAAACCTGGCTTAGATAAATGCTATAATCTGCATTGTGACTTTGGAAATCGTAACTCATGATCAATCATATTCTATTACTATTTTAAACTATTACTATTACTTTCAAACTAAACTATAACTATTAGCTTATAGCTAATGTTTAATTAAGGAATACTTGCCATGACATCATAAGATTCTCCATTTCTAAGTACTTTGCTGTGGCTTTGTATTATTCCTTGACCAATTAATTCCTCCAGGATGTCTGATGACTTTTGTCGCTCTCGGATCTTGGGGGCTTGGGGGTTATGGATTAATCCACCGGTCACTAGGTCTTCCAAAGGAAAAGAAAAAAGAAATAGGAATTTAAGCATGAACATTTTATCAATCGGATGCTAAATGGATGCCTTATAAATCATGCCGCTTCATTAAATCTTGGGTGAACACTCTTACCTACATATCTGTTTCTATTATAAATCTTTGAATCCTTTGAAGTTGAAAGTCTTCACGTTCTTTTAGAGGATACACATCACCATAATATACGGTTTGCTTAGCAAGCCCCATATTAACATAACAAAAAGTCTTTCATGTGCTGCTATGTACTACTTTTTTTGTTGTAACAACACTTATACACTGGGGTAGGACTACATGGGTTCTCGACACTAATTACCAAGCTAGAGCACAGCAAGGAAGGAGATCTTCTTTCAGTGACTCTTGTGAGTTGCAGTTTGGTTTCTATGCTTTGTATACAAAGGATAAACAGTGCGATGTTGCCAAGAGACTTCTAGTTCCGCAACCTTGAGCTTACAATTACGCCATCTGCTAAATCTATGTAAGTAAAAGTAATGCCTTTTTGAAAAGAGTCTTTGAACGAAATCAGAACTGAAGTGAAGTGATGTCAGCTAAATTTTTATTAATGATTCTAAAAATGGCACCGAAACGGTGTCTCCGGGAGCCTTTATAAACTGCACTAATGAGAGAGATCCCATCCCCCCATTACAAACCGCCCAGTGCTCCAAATAAGCAAGCATCTGTTTTTCCGGACTCACACCATGAAATAAAGGTGCAATGAGTCTTCAGAAATGAGCTATTTTCTATTTTGTAATCATCAAGAAGTGCTCACTGTAACCCCGTTGATTCCGTCTAGTGGACGGAGTCTTTTAATGAAAATTTCTAACCTCGCTGGTTAACAAAGACAGTTTTTGTGAATTTGCAGTGGGAAGAGAGAAAAAATGCACACATACACACGAGCCAGATGTCTCTTACTTCAGAATATTTGCCTTCTTGTTACGAGAGACTTCTCTAATTGACCGCTGCAGGTAACTTCAACAAATCGCCTATAATCTCATTTCTTGTCCAGTGTTGTGTCTTCCTTCTACCTTCTCATGTGTCTGGAATAGACTCGATTCCCACTGTAAAGAGCTATATACAGATTTTGGTACAGAGTGGTAAAGCATGTCTTTGAAGTATGTAACCTAGAAGCTTGAAACCACAGAGAAAAGTTAAAGCTAGAGGTAAAGAATTAGATGGATTTTTTTTTTTTTTTTTAGAAGGTGGATTTACCTGGAAGGGCCAAAATAATAACAATTACTATTTACTGAGCATTTACGTGCCTGGCACCATATTAGGTACTTTATAGACTTTATAACACTGTGAATTCTGTGAGAGAGGTACTGTTATCCTTATTGTACAACTAAACTATATGAGAGAGGCGAATTAACTTGCTTAAGGTGACATGGGTAGGAAGAGAATCAACTAGGGTTTGAACTCAAGAATATCCGACTTCCACATCTGTGTTCTCTGCCACCCTGCCCCCCCCCCCACTCCTTTCCCAAGGTCATGGATGGAGGTCCACTGCATGATCCATTATTTTTCTGAATCTACCAAAGTATTTGGCTTGACATTGACAGTCGTTAGCCTACAAAGAGAACCCTGAGCTATCATGGTCATTTCAACTAGTTCTCATGATTTCTTGGGATGCTGAAGACGATTGGGGAAATGTGTGAAAATGACATTATGCTTTTTTCTGATCATGAAAGTGATACATGGTTACATAGTAAACTTGGATAGAAAAGAATGAAAAAAGAAAAGAAAAATGCCCATACTCTTAGCATTAAGAGATTACCACTGTTAATATATCAAATTTTACTTTTAAAAATCAGACACCATACTGAAGATAGTTATGTTTCCTATGCAGTCAACATATACACTAGCATTTTTTCACGAGATCGGAAACTCTTCATAAGCCTAAGTGTCAAAAGCGAAGTCATACGAGAAAATGTAGGTGAATTCATCTTAAACTCTGGTGTAGGAAAAAACTTTCTAAACATGACTCAAAATCCAGATTCAATAAAAGAAAAGATTGAGAAATCTTTGATTTTAACTACATTAAAAAGTGTTTGCAAGGAAAAAAAGAGGAATAAATGTCAAATATAGATACCATGTAGCTTGTGATTTGATGTACAAATGGGGTACAATGTCATTTTTGGTATTTTTGCTAAAAATGTATAACCTGAAATTAATCATGGGGAATTCTCAAACACAAACTGAGGAACTTTCTACAAAAAGCAATGGCTTATATCTCCAAAATATCAATCCAATAAAAGACAAAGAAAACCTGAGGGACTGGCTCTGGATTAAAGGAGAAAAACACATTATGTCTAAATTAAACGTGTGATTCTGGATTAGATCTTGAACCAGAAATTTATTTACAAAGGACATTTGTGAGACAATTGATAAAATTTGAATATGCAGATGAGACGATGTACTGCCTAAGGGGTAATTTGCTGATTGTGATCCCTGTACCGTGATTATGCAAAGAATATCCTTGTTTTAGGAAACACATATTGTGCTTAGGAGTAAAGTGTCATTATGTCTGCGATTTGCTCTTAGAAACAATCTAGGGGCGTGTGTGTGTGTGTGTGTGTGTGTGTGTAAGAGAGAGAGTGTGTATGTGTGTTTACGTGAGAGAAAGAGTGTGTGTGAGAGAGAGTGTGCCAGAGAGGGTGTGTGAGTGTGTGTGAGAGAAAGAGTGTGTGTGAGAGACAGAGACAGAGAGCATGTGTGAGAGTGTGTGTGTGAGAGTATGTGAGTGTGTGTGTG